TTCTGTATAGCAATTGCTTATCAAATGTCCCAATTGTAAACTAAATTAAAGTAAATTAATTTAAAATAAAATAAAATTCTTTCATTTAAAATTGTTTAAAAAAATTACAAAAATATGAATTTTTCATCAAATTTAGATGTTTAAATCATCATTATTTATTTGTGTCCACACTAAAGGTTGATATCCCTGAAATTTTCAGTTGAGCAAATAGATAATTAATTTCGAATCCTTTCATATGGAAGACTTGCTGCAATGAAAGGACTCACTTTTATTAAAACCCAATATATTATTTTGCTTTATAATACCAATTACCAAGCTTCAGTTGGTCCCTTTGACTCTATTAAATTCAACTTATTTCACTCACAATAATAAAGGAGAATCCCATAGCCATGAAAAACTCTTTTCATTGACTGCTCCATGAGCGTAAAAGTGGAAATGGGCATAGAAATATCTCAGGAAATATCAAAATAATAAACCACGGGCACACGCGCCGAGCACAGCCTTCACTGAGCCCGATGATGATGAGGATGATGATGATAGGAAGAGCGAAGGCGACAAAGATGCCGTCGACGATGTGCCACAAATAAAGACTGTGAGGAAGTTGCCACTCAACGGCGTCAGAGGCAGAAATATGTTGTCACTGGCTTATCCTTGCACATACAACAATTCCACCTAGCCAGAGACTTGCCATGCATATTCTGTATACCCTTACCGAAGATACTTCGGAATTCGTCAACAATTATGTAACACATTGCATAAGCATCTGCTTTATTGTAGTATTCATTTTTATATATGCGCTGAGATCACTTCATCATTATCCGACTAATCCCTTCTTATAAGATAGCAATTTAAATTCTTTATTATATTTTATTTATTATATTCTATTTACTGATTGATGTTTTCTCTGCTATGTTCTGTGCATGGCTTTTTGTCATACTAGTTTAAGTACTTAATTTAAAATATATTGATTTGAGGGTATGTCGGCTGTGTATATTCCTCAACATCCAATGCGACCATGCATATTCCTTTCGTTTTTTAATATTTTTGAATTTCCGCAATTTTATTCGCCGTGGCGACTGCCCTCTTGATGCCTCCTGTTGCCACGAACGTGCTGTGTGCGCGTGCATCGGGAATCACACTTTAATTTACACTTGAAAGACTTTTCACGATTTCCCACACGGCGCTGGGAAACGTGTCCGCAACAAATGAGCAGCGACAGGCCATAAAAAAAGTAAATCCACGCATCCAAAGCAGTGCACACAAAAATGTCAGGCGCAATAATTCGATTGTCCACTCAAATGAAATCGAATGCACAAAATCACAAATCACAAATCAGGAAAACTGTCTAAAAAGAAAAAGAGAATGGAAACTCGCAGGGGTCTTGAAGGGAAGGTCTGTGGGTAGCAGAAGGAAAATGCAGTTCCCGAGCAATAATAAACAATAATTGTTGTTGTTGTTGTTGTCGCTGCGATAAGCATATTGCACACTAGACCAAGCGGCACACCCCCTTTCCACCTCTCAAACTTTCGCACATTAATGGCAGCCAGGGCAGGCGCTCAAGTGTTAAGTGTCAGATGCAGGATAAGTGCGTGCAGCGACAGGATATTTGTTTGTTTGTTTGCCTGCTCCTTACTCTTTGCTCCAGCCTGATGCGGATGTGTGTGCGATTGCAAACACATCAGCGACAGGCACATTTTTAATGCAGACTCCACAGTGAAATGAACGGACAAATCACGATAGTAACTTACAAATGACATGACATGTGACTCGGACAGCAGGCGGCAGGCAACAGGCGTGTGCGGCGAGATGTGCTTGGGATAAGCAGGAACCCTCAAACAGTTGACCAGAGTCAAGTTAAATTTGTTGGCCTGCACTCTAAATGTTATCTCAATTGCAGCCGCAGCTAAGAATGCAGGCAGGGAATATGTTTTTCATTTGATAAGAACTTAATATGGCGTAAACTACGCACAGTGGGAATAGCTAAGCAAACCTTGATGCCCAATAGGAGCTCATTTTATATTCATATTCACTTTTAACTCTCCTCAAGCTTAGTCTACATTTGTCTACCTTTCATTATTTCATATATACGAATCCATAGGATCATCTCTCAGCTCTGTTCCTAGTCAAATTCACAAATCACGCTTCACACTCGTTAACAACTTAGGACTGTACAATTGCTATATAGACCAGATCGAAATAATCTCTTAGCATGTTCACATGCAAAAATGTGTTAAATTAGATTTTAAGCTTTGCAGTCATTCGGAATTGTTGTTAACCCACAAAACCCACATATTACAGGCAATTAGTTGCCGCAGAGCACAGAACTTTGCTAACATGACAACTGCGTGCTGGCTAATCCGAGAGCTTTGGCCAATTATTTATGACGTTGGGTAACACTCGACTAATTCGCACTCGTGACTTGGCATTAGTCAACACTGTGTGCGCACATTTTCCAACACTAACCACTGATTTATGACACTTTATCAACTGAGCGACTAATGTAACTAAGTAATTTGATGTCGAATAAAAGAACTGTGCTTGCAGTTGAATCTGTGATATATATATAGTTATGTATAGGCGTGGCATTGCCTTCTTGCGCCTGGCGTCAAGTGGCCTAGGATCTGCATATCCTGTGCAGCGTTTAGCTCTATTATTATTCTAAATATGCTTTTATTTATTTACGCTGTGGCTGCAGTCGCTCTTCACGTTGTTTGCACAATTTTCCGCCTGAAATCATTTCGCCACCCAACTACAGGCAAGCAGCAACTGTTGCATCCTTTTAGCCCAGTCGCCTGGCAATTAAGCCAACTCTCAACAAAATGACAATGACACACACACATACGCACACACACACGTGACAGCTACATGAGTTGCTGCTGCCTGCTTCCCTCTGCTTGGGTTCCCCCCTCTGGCATTGCTTTGTCGCTCGTTTATGTTAACTCGCTTTTGGCATTTTGGCTCATAAAATGCAAATTATGCTGGCAATAAATGTTGATAAATTGTTTTTATAATCCAAATTTGTTATTCATGTAAAGTCAACTGCATTTACTTGTACTTTGCACAAACATTTTGGCGCCAATTCGTCTAAATTAGCTTATTTAAATGGAAACATTGCCAAGTTCAGCTAAACATTTAATTTACACCCAACTGGAAGACGACCAACAAGCTTTATTTATTATAATTAAAATGGCCAAAATGCCACATTATCATAAGTACTCCCAATTAACAAATTAAATGCAACAAGCTTAATTAATATAAAAGTTAAAATAGATTTTCGAAGAGTGAAACGACAGCAGCTTAAACACATTAACTTCTAATATAATAATACTAATTCTACGAAATAAAGTTTGATTTGTTTGTTTTATGTTAATGGAAGTATTCGAATAATTACAAAATTTAATAAATCTGCCCTGTTGCCAGTGACTACTCTACTAAATAGTCTAACAGCCCACTGTAGTTGAACAACAGGAGAGAGTAAAGTTTTTCATTGCTATTAGATGCACCTAAACAGAGATTATTTAAAGCATCATTAACAAAGAGACTGAGAGAAGAAAGGGCAGGAAGAGAGAGGCAGTCTAAATATCTTAATTAGTCAAAATAAACAAAAATATTTCAAAGAAATTCCTAACGAGGCAAATGCCACAGCTCAGTCTTAAATATGTTCTCAGACAATGCTCTCTTAACTGATCTTCTTCTATTAAATAACTGTTTCACTTTAGTTACAGCCAAATTGTCTGATACGAAAATGAAGCAGAAAATTGTTAAATGCGTAGAAGATGGTCGTTACTAAGCTTCGACCCATTGTCGGTTTAAAGTTCTTTTCGCCTTGGCTTTTCAGGTGTTTTGAAACCAAATTAGTGCAGGCAAGTTAACGTTTAATGATGCTCAAATTGCATTTCGTAGCGCTGTGCGCTGAGAATTTTAACCTGGCTAACGGATCTCATTCTTCAGCGCCATTAAAATGTAAAAAGTCGTAAACTAAAAATTGGTAGGGCGTATCTTAAACACAATAAAAATAGTAAAATAATAATATAAATCAACTATAAAATACCTCGCATTATATTATATAGAAATATATAAATGCACAGTCAATATTGTTTATAGTAACATATAGCTAAAAGCTTTATATAATATAATATTGATGTTTGTCAAATTCTGACTAGCTGTTATACAAGATATCATGATTTAGCTAAAACCCATACGCAATCATTTATACATAATTTTCTAACAAAGCTCCCCATTAAATTCAAATTAATTCCCAAACAGTTAAAAAGGCCAAGCTGCTTTATAAATAGCGAATACCCTGTCTATACACTTAATAGGATATTAGTAATGAAGAACTATCTGAGTAGTGGGCAGCTGGCAGACAAGAGATGAACAGTCGAGCGTGTGGTAATTAGAATTAAGAAGCATTAAAAAGAAACTCAACAAAATTCACACAATGCGCTCAAAGCGAAAGTCGTAAATAAAGCCATAAAAACGTAAAAACTGTAAAGCTAGTGGCGGGTTTTCCTGCTTCTCGGACCAAATGTTTTTTTTACCATTATTTTTTGGGAGCTGTGGAAACTTAATTAGTTTGAAGAGGCAGCACAAGTGCGAGCTGCAAGGCGATAAAGCCCTTTGGCTATAACAATTAGTTTGGTCGCCAAAAACTTCAACTGCGACTAATTTATGAATGCACCTTGTTGACAATGCCGTTTTGGACAGCTCGTAAAATGCGGTTCGAGAGGCCCATAAAATAATAATAATAGCCAGCAGTACAACAAAGCAACTCGAGGGGCTACGATCTGGGAAAAACAGCTGCGTGGGCGAGCTATCAAAAAGAAAACAAACAACAACTGGAAAACCTGACCGAGCAGCTCTCAGAATTACAAGCTCGATTGATTCGCAATGCCAGTGCACAATATTCCATTTCCATTATTCCACAATTCAAATACATTGAGCGCATATATATACCTGCATATTTATATATAGATTTATATTATTCACATTTTTGCTTAGTTTGTTTTTGTCAGCGTTAATCCCGCTTGGCTTAGCTTGGGTCGGGTCCTATGCCCAACGCGAGCTGTTGACATGCAATTTGTTGTCCTCATCCTGATCCTCACATCCTGCACTCAACCCCAAAGGCGAACACAATTGACATTTGCCTTGGCTGTGACAAAGGCAGATTTGGCTGCGAATGCGAATGCGGCGTTCGGAATACGGAATGCAGAATGCGGATTTAGCTGCAGGGACTCGGGACATGGGACTCGGGCTTGGCTCTGCAACTGCAACGGCAATGGCAACGGCAGCAGCAGCCACTCGGCTTATACAATCGTAATTGGCCAACCGTGTTTTGAGGTTTTCCTGTTTGTCAACTGTAAAGAAAGTTTTGCGGCGCAAACGTGATTAATGCGGCGTGTTTGAGGCTTATGAGTATCGAAAATATTTGTTGAATATATATATTTATACAAATATATATATATATATATATATATATATATATATATATATATATATATATATATATATATATATATATATATATATATATATATATATATATATTTAAACAAAGAACTCTCTACTTAATGACTAAATGTTTATGGGGTAAATCAGCTTAATCTCAGGACTTAAATTATTAAACTTGAATTTATTTGCAAAGTGTGTTTTATAGAGCTGCAGAACTTTGAGTTAGTAACACTATTTTATTTGAGAACCCACTTAACATCTTATATTCCGGCGGAGCTTTCAATGAGAAGCAAATTTAATATTTTTTGTGATTTATTGATAGCTTGCTATAAATTATTAATTAAATAATAATTTCATACTCTTAAGAGCTTGGTTAACATAAACTGACTTGAAAACGTCTTATATCTATGCGCAAGAGATAGTATTTAAATTTAAAGTGGAATACGAATATTTAGCCTAGTCGTTGGCATTTACTTAAACCTATTTCGCTGGTTAGTGTAGGTAGACTACATTTTTGAAATTTCATTTGCAATTCTGCCAGACCAAACGAATTAAACGTTGCTTAGTTCATCTAGTTAATCCCTAGTCAAGTATCTCTGTCATGGAGCATTCTTAATTGTTTTGCTGTAGCTTTAGCCTCAAGTATTTATGGCCACATGTGGCATATTTATGAACTGTTTATTGTAAGCCAGGCCAAGCTTAAGTAATTCCCAGCGTATAACTTAATTAATTGCAGCTAATGCAATGCTCGCAACATACAACGAAAGGAGCAACGGCAACGGCAACGGCAAGCACAACAACAACAGCTAATGGACGTGGCGGCAGGATATCTCTTGCCACATGTTGCAACAATAAAACGAGAGAAAAAACAACACCAGAAAAATTGAATTATACATGTGAAAAGTGTAACATGAGCAGTAGTAGCAGCATTAGGCGAGCAGGGCGTGGCATAAATATGAGAATTTAATAAAATATGTTTAATGTAATTTTGCACCCGGCAAGAAGAGCTACCGGAAGCACTTGACCCGCATGGACTACATGAGGCAGCCACACAAATGCCGAGTGGAAGCTGCAACAAAGTAGGCGTGGCACTAGGAGGCGCATGCAGTAGTAAGTAATCTGGCAGTGGAGTGGCATCCACTGCAGCCTTAAGGCCTGGCTAATTGGGTCAACTTAGGGCCCCAGCTCAGACTCCCTGTGGCTCGTCCGCTCTCTGTGTGTGCCCGACCGGATGTGCTGGCCAGAAGATATTGTGAGCTAAAATCTAAATAAATTTAAAGCAATTATCTAAATTATTTGTGTTTCATTCATCTCTTTGTTCTAATTGGCCACATTCTTATGCACAGCATCCAAGATACACAAGATATTAATTATTTAAATGTTATGAATCTAACTTCAAAGCTTAAATATTTTTTACTTTATTAAAATGCAATTTACACACGTGAAAAGACCTTCCAGTTAATAAAAAGTAATTGGAAATAAATAAAATGTGTCAGAAAAAAACCAAGTTTATAAAACAGAATTTAATTACTTATTGCAAATGTATAAATTTGTTTTGAAGAAATTTGCGAATAAATCGTTAGTTCTTACTGCAAATATAAATATTTATTTAAATTCTAATTACTTTCAGAATAACCGAACTTTTATTTAAAGCAGTCATTGGAATTAGCTCCTAATACTTTAAGCTGTTTCTCCAATGGGATTCGCTTTCGCTTGGCTAGTCAATCATTGCCAGCTGCTTAGTTCATTTTTGTTTAGTGAAATATTTTTGTGAGGCTGCCAAGTGCATTTCAGCTGCCACTTGGCGCAATCATTAGTGGCGTTTGAGCAACAGCAGTCACGCCGCGAAAGCAGCGCTAGTAAGGCCCAGCCACCCACGCGCAAGAGATGGCAGCTTTGCTTTTCGGAGTACAAACGCACTTTTCTTTGCAAAGCGCAAATAAAAGATTTCCATAGCCTGACGATTTGACAGGTTTCAACGGACATGGAAAGTGAAAAGGCATTGGATTTGAAGTGTAAGCAGTAGCAAGTGGGGCACAGAAAGCTCTTTGGCATTTCCACTCGCAGGCGCTGCTTACGCTCTCGCTCTAGCTCCAAAGCCTATTTGAATGTACTGTATAAATTATGCGTAGTTGTTGATGCTGCGTTTTAAATTTCAAATGCTTTGCATTCAGTAAGCCAAATGGCAGCAGCAACAGCATTAACCACAAGCTTACACGCACACTCGCACACACAGCGCACTCAACTCGACTCAGCAAGCCACGCAACAACGAATTGCATTCATTATGTTTATGCCAATGCTATAAATATTGTTCTCTCACTCACACATGCACAGGCCCCTCACTCGCTAAGGCTTTCTCTTCCTCCCGTGTTCTGGCTCTTGACGACTTGGCTGACTTATTTGCATTTTTCGTGCGCCAAAAATGGCTAAAAATACTTGACTAATGTTGCTCTCTGTTCGTGTTGTTGTTGCTTTGACTGCACGGATTTAATAGGATTTTAGTGCATTGAAGTGATTTTTCAATGCTGTCTGATGATGATGTTCGCGTTGTTGCTGACGATGTAAATGGCAAAGGGATATGGCTGCAACTTGGCTCCAAGCTTAGCCCGACAATGGAGCTCGCTTGCCAAATGTAGGCAGGATGCGTGGGTTATCCTTTCTCTCATAATGGACAGGTCATTTATTAGGCTAGCCAGTTGAGGACTGCAACGCGGAAGCAACTGCCTTTTGTGCCTGATATGGTTGCCCGTCTCGAAGAACTGACTAAGGGCAAGTCTATTTGGAAGGACAACTCCGAAACTAAGCAGTTGTTAGCCTGAGTCTAAGAGGCACAGATGAAGACTTGAAGAAACATTTTCCAACTGGTTATTCGGCTCTTCAACTAAGTCTTGCATCAGTTTCAGGAGCACATTCATATTTTGAAAGGCAATTTCAAGTTTCTTCTTAGAATTTTATTTTGAATTCCCTTTTTACTTGATTTCTGAACACAGAAATGTTCATCAATGTGTATGTGTGATGTAAGCTGAACATTCATTTTGACACTGCCTGACAGCTCAAGGAAGTCAAGCTTAACAGCATTTCCCACATGCCCAAAAGCCATGCAAGCCAAGCGACTAGGAGCGAGATAGTGCGAGAGACAGAGAGAAAGAGAGAGAGAGAGACAAACACTGAAAGAGAGTGCTTTTGTTTGGAGCTCGGACTGGTGGCAAATTTATGGCTTGCCTTTGGCTACTAATGAGTTTGTCGGCATCCGTCAGGGAGTTTGAAGGGCGTAGGGACCGGTATTTGGCACCGGGGGAAGGATAGATGGAGTCGACAGCTTAAGCCGTGGCGACCGGCCTTGAGGTCCCTAGCGTACAAGCCGAGGCATAATGGGTTAAAAATGCGTAAACGATTTTGGGCGTCGTAAGCTTCTTAGATATTTGCATCAGATTTGCCATAAATTGAACTGAGAGCGGGGCAGTTAGAGGCACGACTGAGGTCGCTGGCTCGGAAACAGTATTGTAGGCGGAAGCATTTTGATTGATTTACACACACACCCACAAATACACACACTCACGGACACATGTGGCAAATGCAGTGGCAGAGAGAACTTCCTTCTCTAAACAGCTCATCTTACTGCTGCTGCTGCTGTTGCTGCTGCTGGAATTTGCCATGCCATAATGCCAAAATGCGGCAGTATTTCTTCAACTTCCGGCATTAAGTGCACACAGCGGCAAATTAATTAAGTGACGTTGCCAGACTGCTGCGAATGTGTATGTTCGTGCGGCTGTGTGCGCCTTGGGCGAGGTCAAAGTCTGTTGTCAAATTAATTAAGCTCACACCAGCAACAATTTCTGGCAATCACAGCATCTACTGCACCCATCATCCAGCCTCAAGTTACTTTAGTTAAGCTTTGCAGTGGCTTTCGTTGAGCTTATGTCATTTACACCTTGATCTAATTGAAGCACGCCATAACCAGGAACAATAGCATCGAGCAAGGTCTGCCTGACATGCGTACGCAGTCAATTGAATTCTAAACAAAATTCAATTATTTAGGCATTGTCATTAACTTACAAGCAGTGTTATACACATATATTCAAACACATTTTGCTTTAATATAATAATTTAAAATTGCATTTGCCAGAGCTTGAGGAAGATAACTTGATTTACATGCAATCAACGATTGTGACAGCTTAATAAAAGAAGAGTCTACAGAAATATAGAAAGATAAAACTATCTCCGTGGGTATATGTTACATTTGTTATACATTTATATTTATGCATCTAATTTAAATTAGTACATGAAATATTTTAGGTCAAAAAATGGTTCTAATTGAGAAAGTTTCTTACTTCTCTAGAACTAAATGGTATCTATAGTAGATATACATCATCTTCAGTTTGCCTGCTTTAGACTGTGGCATCTACACTGTCTGCAACAGCATTGCAGCTTCGAAATTAGTTGACACAAGCAGAGCTGACAGAGCTTTTGACAGAAATATACTGATTGAGTAATAACGCATCGCCTGCTGATATTAGTCAAGAATTTGTTTACTCTATGGAGACTATTTCAATGACTTCATAGCTCATAAGCTCTGCTATCAGTGACTTCTAATAGCATACATTGTGGGGCTTTCGCATAGCGAGGAGAGAGAAGTTATTTAATGTTTTCTCACATCCATCGAACTAAATAGTTGCAAGAGTCAATTTCAAATCCAAGCTAACTAAAAACCAAACCAAATAACTGAACAGCAAGCGCAAGCTGCAAACGTTTCAATAAAACTAAGCCGCAAATTTGGTTTTTAATGCGTTGAAATCCTTTTGGAATGGGTGCCAAATAAAAACACACATCAATGCCGAGCATCGGGCAATGCTTTCCACCCTATTTCTCCCTCTCCGGCTCTTTTACAGCTTGCCTAATTTCGCTCCAAACGACCCGACTAAGCTGCTCTTCTGCTCCGCCAGCCCCTGCCAATCAGGTCACTAAAAAAACTATGTCACCAAAGGATTTTCATGTAGCTTTTTCTATTTGGTAGCAGAATGTAAACCCATTCGATGATGGTTCACAATTGAATCAACTCCGAAAAAAGCTTTTAAGCTATTCCAAAAAACTATATATATATGTAAATTGATACGCGTGTTTTTTATCTCTTCTTCTTTTTATCCGTGAAAGTGAAAATGCAAATGCATTTGGAGATTAAAATGAAGGCCAATTATGGAATTCATAACGAGCGAAAGTTGTTCAACTATCTGAGAGATATATTTGTGGGTAGACCAGAATTTTTAATTGATATGCAGAAATCATAAAAACAATGTGTGCTTGGCTTACCTAAAGTTTAGAATAACATAGATTGACGCTGCTCGACTAACAAATACTCAGCATTTATTATTTGGACAGATGAGGACTTTGAATTAGAACTGCACTATGTTTGGGTATCTTTGTATTTCTTAGCCAATAAATAGATATCTAACCCATTGAAAGAATTTTTTAAATATGGGATCATTAAGAATATTCGAGAGTGCAGATAAGACCAACTCCCTGTTGAGTCTGTAAAAAACATTTATATCAATATGATTGCTTAATGTTGAGCGATTCAATTATGAAGTTAATCCTTTTCGGTTCTAAGCATGCTCCAAAAATCCAAATTAATTAATAGCAAAATGAACTTTTTCAATTGATAAAACAAAATAGAACATATAAAATCCTAATTGATTTCAGTTTAGTTTTTAAAGGTATTTTTTAGAGTTACATAAGCTTAAATCATAGTATTACAAAGAAATATATTTTTATCTCAATTAATCAGGTCTTATTGAAGAGGAAATGTAATGACATTAATGCTAAAATATGATTTCGGGCATCTACCTTGGCTTTATTTTCTAAAAATGTTAATAATTTACAAGCGTTGCTCTGCTGCTAATTTATTTATAATAAAATATAATAAAATAAAAAAAAAACTATATCTAATTTGTTTTAGCAAGCCTTAGGCTTGACTGATAAGACAATACGAAATACAAAATGGAATACGACATGTTGCCCAATCGATATGGAGAGCTCATCGACAGCTTTATTTCAATATAAATTGGTTGTTATTTCATAAAGTGAAATGAACAAATATAGTCACAACTTAAACTACTTTAGAATAATTGTCTGTTTGCTAAAGTCAAAATCGTTTGAATCAGAAAAAACTCGCAAATTATTTGATATTGAGAACTTTGTAACGAAAACTTGTTATTTAAAGTAAGAAATTGCTACACTATTTAAGAGTGAAAATAATATTCATAATTGAAGTTTCCAATTTGTGCTCTCTGACTGTAAGTCAATTTGTAAAGTCTCTAAAGGCTAAATCAATTATTTGCACAGATGTCAACGATGTTGTTGTTTTAGTTTTTGGTAAATTGCAGCTATTAAATAACTAATTAGAATGATGCGAATGATGACAACATTTATCTGTCTGCGGCCAGCAAACACACACACACACACACAGACACACGCACACGCACACACGTATAGAATTTTGCCTTCTGTCTCAATGAAATAATGAAATTTGCTAATTGCCAAACTGCAAAATGCAGCTGAGGCTAAAAACTTTTGCGAACTTTAATTTAATTTTTAATATTTAAGTTTTGACCAGCATAAATAAAGACACTCACACACACACGCACACTTACGCACAAGCAGACATGGGAATTGAAATCTTGACTGGCTGCATCTTTGAAGTAAACCAAATGCCAATATTTGTCCGGCCTCTGCTGAGAGTCTGATTTTATGCAAATTTTCAATTAGTCAAACACATTTTATCATCAACAACAAGGACGCACGAACAGGATACCATACAGGATACGCATTTGCTTTCTAGTTTCCCCTTCTCTCGCCCTCTTTTCTCAGCTCTCAGTGCTGACTTGAAGACGCTTGTGCAAACCACTTGAGATAAATAGATTTTAAGTTGCAATCGCTTTTTATATGCATATTTGCTTCCATACGTATGTATGTATGTTGTACGTATGTGCCACGCCCCTTCCTTCGACAATTTGTGTTGTTTATCTGGAGCTGTGCTCAGTTGTTGTCTGCTTCTGAATGCTGATTAAGTAATTGCATTTGCCCAAAATTTTACAACATTTTGGCGTTGACTTCATTTGCGCTGCCTTTCAGCGTCAATTACGAGAGCTGAGCGACAAAAAATAACATATATATACACAAAACTTCTCAGTTCTTTATGGTACAATTTGTATGTGTATATAACATTTTTATGTATATGTGTGATTGTCTCTGTGTGTGTGTGTCTATCGCCTAATGTTTTGCAGCGCTCACTAATTGCATTAAAAAGGAAAACCCGCTGCGCTCCCAGCCCCAAAAGCCATCTGGCTCTCGCCAAATTATACAAAGCATGAGCCAAGAACTTGTCCGCCAAAGGATATCAAAATAAGAATACCCTTACAGCTCTACAAAGGGTGTGCTATTAAGATCTATGAAGTAGTCAAGTTGCTTAAAATTAATAAATTATTAAGTGATATTATATTTATCGGCTGCCTTCTGCTCATTTATTCAATCACACTGCCGAATGGAATTAATAAATATATATCTGTATATCGTGTGATTAGAGTTGATCAGCAAAGGAATTGTATCATATTCAATAGAATTATAAATACTTTTTTCTGCATTAACAACTTCTTCATCTCCAACTTAAAAGTAAACGACATCAATCTCGGATTCCAGGCGTTACATATTGCATAAGCAAGCCCATTTGCATGCCCGCTCTGCAAGTGTATCCCAGAATAGACGACGACAGTCTAGAGACAGTTGAATAGTCAGTTAGTCAGATAGTCGTATAGTCTGTGCATTGGCACACCCACCCCACAGGGATAGCAAATTTAT